CTCATGTAACGTCTTCGGATTATGATTTCAACTTTTTTCATAAGTGTAGCTCTTTCTAGTGTTACGATGAATCGATATCAAAGTGCCTGACTTGTCCATGATATTTGGAAAACTGATAGTCTCACCATAATTTGACCTTTTTGTTTTGACTATCCATAATTAATTGCCTTAGCGTCTGCCTCAAGCCTTTGAGGGTGGTTTGACACTTTTATGGGCTCGTTATCATGAATCAGGATATCATTGACAAAACAGACTCAATGTATTCGCGCACTCTTATGGTGCATAATCTTATGCTTATTTTGCATACTACAAAATCTTTTTAATCATTTAACCTCACTACTGAAAATATTTCTCTAACTGGTCTCTCTTTGCATATCATTTGAGTTTTAGTCAAGCCTTTTTGTTTTTATTCCATATCAACTTCCGAATTAAGTCCCTTTTACGAGATAACTCTGCATCCATCAACCGATCTTCTAAGGAGCAAAACTTTTTATGCATCGATTTTTCTCTTAGGTATAATTTTTAAAATAAGGTCTTATAAGATTTCTTTAAAGAACTCCCCAATATTCTTAATCTTCTGGCTACAACGTGTGAATGACGAACACTTGATAACTATATTATTTTTCACCTTGCCTTTGCATTACTCCGATTTGTTCATTCATTATTTAGCTCCATGGAGCTGAATTGATTTCTTCTTCTTCATACGCCGCTGGGCTTACGCTTCGTTTCCCTCGAGTAAGTTCTATCCGCACTGACAAGGCTTGGCAGGATTGCTTGACACTGCAGGAACTGCTCAATCTTAACAAACATACTAAGGTGAGTCTTGCTACTGGACAACGATAAAAATACTTTCTACCCTCATAATAATTTTTTTCTTTGGAGTTTTTAGCGAAGAGTTGGTGTGGTTCTTCGTGATCACGAATTTATTTTGCCCAGTGATTTGTTAATGGAATTCTGATCTAACTATACCTCAATAATATAAGATAATTCTGATCTTTACTGGGTTTACTCGAAGTTGTCAATTTTTATGGTCCCTTTACGTGTCATGTATCTATTTCAACTATAAGAAGTCCACACAGAAGGCCCCACCATCTTGGTATTCATATCTACGATACAGAAAGTCCAGTTTGATTGATGCCCCCGAGCTAGTGATGATTTGGGCGCCGAGTTACTTTACCAGCATTAATCCACAATATAGGTATTTATTTTGAATCCAAAACATTTAGGAAATCTAAAACTTATTTTTTTAAATTTAAAAATGGTGCATTATTTAATCGACCTTATACTTACTAGCTTAGAAACAATATATTGCTTCGAAGCCTGACCATGAACACTGATTAGACGCGTTCTTACGATTATCTATAGTTCCAATTTCGATCTAATTTAGGTATAAAATGATTTATCGAAAGTATGAAGATT